AACACTGTAAATATATTTTTAGTAAATTCCCTCACAAATATGAATTGACTTAACTTCTCTTACATTAACTCTTGCCATAGTGTTTTTTAAATCGTATGTATTATAATTATTAGGGCTGGGTGGTATATTGGTATAATAAGGTATACCGATATCATTTCAAAAGAGATATAAAATTAGACAAAACCGTTTATACAGATATAGTTTGATGCTGAGTTAATTAATATGTTTCTGTAAAGTCCTGCCAGCGTTTTCTCCTCTCTCTCTCCCTCACCACGCAGCCCCGCCCCGCCCCCTCCTGTGCGTCTGCACTCAGCCGTCTACTCACACACACTCTAACAACATGGAAGGAGAGACTGTGCTGGCTGATCAACATCCTCACCCCCACCCTTCCCGTTACCCATGGTCAGTCGTCGTTAATTAATTAATGCGTTAACGTGATAATAACGCGTTAACATACCCAGCCCTAGTAAAAACATGCCCCTAATTTTCCCCCACCCCTACAAGACAGACAGTAGTGTGAGACATAAACGCACAGGTAGATATAGACGGATAGAGTGAAAACAGTGCGGTTCCCAGTTCAGATCACACAGGGATGCAACGCTGCTCTCGCTCTTCTTTCCTTTCATTCCTTCATTCACCGCCTCCCTCTCTAAATCACCCACATTGGCCTATCTTTATATTTTTTACCCTCTTTTCCATCTCACATCATGTCATCTTTGAAGTGCGCCATTACCCCTCACTCTTTCATTTGCCTCACTCTCTCCTCTTTCATTCAGCTTCCCTGTGGTCATTCAGGATGTGCTCTTTAATTAGCCTGGAGAGAAGCCGGTCAGATGGGCTCATAAGATGGCCACACACAGAGACAAACACCGAATGATAATACCAAAAAGTGAGAAAATGAAAGGCTGATGCAGTAGGAGTACAATTTAAGTAGGTAGGTAGATAGATAAGAGAATAAATATAGTTAGAAAAGTAGGAAAACGGGAGATAGACACAAAAACTGCAACAACTGCAGAAACCCACTGAACAGTGATTCATATAACTGTCAATTTGTTATGACTGTGTCAGAGAGGGTTTCATTCATTATAACAAAATGTTTCAAAGCTGAGCTTTGTGACATTTTATTGGATTTGCATTCTATACTCTAACCGTAAGTATGCACTTGGATTGGTTAACTGGACTTGGGCCCGAATAATAGAACACATTTATCAGCAGCTCAAGAGTTCACCTACTGAACCAAATTCCAAAGCCATCCATCCAGTAGTTGTCGAGATAATTCACTAAAAACCAGAAATGTCAACTTTATGCGGCGCCACAGGAAAGTCAGAGGATCACAAAAGTCAGGAGATTCATCCTCTGGGGACAATGAACATGAATAAAAAAATTGACCTAACCTAGTAGTTATTTCACAACCGAAGTGGTGGAGCAACTGACTGACCAACACTGCCATCCCCAGAGCCTTGCTGTTTGGGTGGCTGAACATTTAGATTAAGTTTGACTTCTGCGCATGACCATGGCAACTTGTACTGTATATATTAAACACTGAGAAGAAGGGACCATTATATTACTTTCAAGCTGCATGTGGGTCTTACAGCTACAGAATAATATAAAAGAAAGGACAGGGCTTGCTTCAGGCTGAAATGCATCTATTTTGGACTTGTGGCATTAAAATATTTAAAGAGTTTTTGCCTAAGAGTGCAGGTTTTCGTTCAGTTTTGTGTGCATTTCTTGTCAGATCCAATCTCCTCTGACTCATACCCAGTCTCCCATTCAGCGCCATTGATTTAATAACAAACACTAACTCTACTCTCATTGGCACGGAGCATTTCTTTTTTTCCTCTCCGCCTAACAATATGAGAGTTTGAGATACAGAAAAACACTGAGATATAGTTAGAGGGAAGAATATGTTTCAAATTAAAGTCTAACATTATTTGATTCACTGTGTGTGATATAATCTGGCCTCAACTATAATCCCTTATTCAACTATTGCTTATCACACCACAACATATTTTCTTTAAACAGTGTCGGGTATTCTTGCTCTACATATTGTAAAACATTGATCATGACAAATTTAGAATCTCTTAAGCAAAGTAAATAGTGAGCGGTGAAGCTTTTATGAATACTCAACATCCTAGAAAAAGAAAGGGACTAAGAAAGATAGAGAGGGTGATAGCGGATCACTACAGAGTCCTCCTCCACATACTTAATAACAATGACACCAAAAGCTGTTTAGATGAAGAATAAAAGGGAGAAGGAAAACGAGTCTGAAAAGCGAGTAAGCCACAGATAGCAGATATACAGTAGATCAAGAGAAATGAAGATAGACAGCGACAGCCGAGGAGGGGCTGAGTCAAGCAGACAAAACGAGAATACAAAAAAAAAAAAAAGAGAGATGTTATATTCTGCAAGGCATCTTTCTCCCAGAATTTGGCAGATTATTAGAAGCGTGACCCTCAAAGGCTTCAATCCCCAGCTAACGAGGGCAACGTCTTGAAGTGACATTTCCAAGCCGAAGGAGGAAGGGGATAAAAAAACAGAGAGAAAAAGATTAAAGAAATGAAAAAGTTTTTGTCGAGATTTGAACAAAAAAAAATAAAAATAAAAAAAGGTTGCCGCCCCCAGAGAGGATGAATTAAACACGCACACACACACACTTGCAAGCAAATTACACAAACACGCTGTGAGACAGACTCCCTCGTGACATACAGACACACACATACTGTACACACACACACACACACACACACACACACACACACACACACACAGCATATAGGTCATTTACCCTCTGGCTCATACATTATTGCCAATTGGGGAAGGGCAAGTTTGTTCACTAAATATTTGATGGACACCCCTTGCTGCAATGAGATTAACAGATTAATCTTGCCACTAAGGAAGTGTTTATCGTTGTGCACACGTCCATGTCTGTGTGTGTGTGTGTGCTCATGTGCATGAGTGCCACACGAGCCCTAAAAGTTAATTAAAAATGCATCGAACATTACACAGCTAACGACAGCACATAGCTCAGACAGAGTGATAAGGTCACACAGGCAAAATGAGGCAAAATGGGGGGGGACAACAAAGCTATAAACCAAAAAATGCTGTAAGCTTGTTAGGATATTATATCTGATTCTTATCATACTTTTAAAGTCACAGTAAACATAATACCATTTCAATACAATTAAATTCTGTACTGCCAATTGATTTAGTATTTATTGTCTGGTCTTCCCAGGGAAAAATCCACAGGTTATAAGGAAATGATGCATTTTCCACTTGGGTTTGATAGTCTGGAATCAATACACCAGAAGAAATGTGTAGGCACATAAGTGGGCACACTGCAGTGTTTCCCCCTCCAGACATTAAGAAGTCCCATGTTGCTTCTCCTGAATTACTGGGAACACTGTCTGTGCAGATTTTTTTGACAATCCTACTTCCCTCTCTCAAGGACTACTGCTGCAGGAAAGAATGTGATATGATGCTGAATGTATAAGTGATCTCTGAGAAGTGCAATGCAAAAACACCACAGAGATTACTGCTTTGCACAAAAAGCTAATCTGGTGACACTATGTAACTTTGGAAAGAAAAAGCAACACAATCTTCCTTTAACACATTAAAACCCTTGCTGAATCCAGTACACTCAGAAGCTTGGCTGCTGCGGCCTTATGGCCCAGTCTCATCAGTATTTAAAACAGAAATTTTGGGCCTAAATCAATTTCAAAGGAGTCCCCGCAATCAGTGAATACTCTCGCTGGGTTGAAATAAATCCTAAGGAATCTTTTGCGTTGAGTTCACCTTTGGTTAACTTTGACACACAAATTCTCGCCAGAAACCAATTGCAAATTGTCTCAACATTGTTGACCTTTGAGCCAATGTAGGGCCGGAATATGTCCAAAACATGGGAAGACTATAAAATACTCGATACACAAGGTTTACAGACAGTTACGCTAGCAATTAGCTTGTCAGCGACAGTAATTCTACAGCTAACCTTGGGAGTTGCCCCTACATCACCAAGCTTCTACAAGCACATATTTAGGGAAGTCTTGTACTTTGGCACCTGACCAGCTACATTATAGCAACTGAAGGTACAGTGCATTGTTCAGGGCCATCTCAACAGCAGTGGGTGAAAGCAGGAGGAATATTTTATTATTATTTTTATCATCATCATCATCATCATCATCAGCAGCTTTCCATTCAGATATTCCTCATGTTATTTGTCTGCTGTAAAACATTGGATTGGTATTTAACTGCAATAACAAGTATAAGAAGCCTCCACGACTCTCCCTCTTGCCTGGCTGAGGTGGTAGCTCTGACAAGAGCGACCAGGGGCCACTTTGTGGTGCACAGACTGCAGCCAGGAGATTAGAGAGCCAGCGCAGATTTGCTGCGGATAAATGTAAAGCTGAGCTGAACAATGAATACAACTGGCCAAGATTGTTTAAGGGGATAAGCTGTGCAGAAAAATCTGGCTCTGTGTTGGATTGAGTTTGTGTATCAGAGTGTGTTGTGCGGGAGTGTGTGTCTGCAGCTGTGTGTGCACGCACGAGATTAGCCTGGTAAGGGGAGACCATTTGTGGTGTGTCTGTATAGGGAAAGAAAGTTATGTGATTTGAGAGCTGTAGTGAAAATTCTAAAGCCAAAAAGATCAGACAGTCGTATTTGGAAGCCTTTGAAACTACACAGCTTCAAATGCAGAGGGAGCTTAAAGGACTTAGGAGAGGAATGGATCTGCGACACACGCACACATACAGATATAAGGGTCAAGACACTTTTGAGTATCCTCTGGCCCAGTTCAACTTGTACTACTTTCAGAGGTTTTCTAAGCATCTTGAATGCGTTTACACACCTCCTTCCTGGGTTTTTTATTTATTACATTTTGAGTCAAAACAAATTACAATCCAAATCCCCACAGTACATGCCAGAGCTAGATTTGCAAATGGATCTGCCCGTCACTATCACACAAACAACAATGACAGCAAATGACAAATCTATGACATTCTCACCAAAGTCGACAAAGGAGGACTGTCCCACAGTCTTGAATGATGAATCTGCAGGCATGACTTCAACTCTGGTGAAGTTCCCATCCTGTGAGAACGACCATTAGGTAGACAGAGAAAGAAAATGGGGGAGAGAGGGATTATGCAATTTCATAAATGCAACTACTCATGAATAAGTCAACCATTGCCTAAATGTAGAGTATAATGTCACAGATGCAGTAGATATGGTGTGAGAAACACAGAGAGAAAACAGTTAACTGGATATTTTCTATACAGGACCAAGGTCTCCATAGTGAACAACTGAAAATATATGCATACATTTTCTGTTTTTCACTATGGAGACCATTTTGCTCATGTAACTCACAGAAAACAAAAAGCACAATACATGTTCAAAACCTGTTTATTATTAGGTATTGTTTTACATGCAGTTGGCTCGCACCCTTAGACTAGTAGAGAGGTTATTAAAGTAACAGTATCATCAGTGTTGTTTATTTATGTTAGGGCTGCAGCTACTTTCATTATTTTTTCATTATGGATCATCAATTATACATTAATTGCTGTTTAATCAATAAAAAAGTAGTAAACAAAACATATCACATGTTCTCAGAGCCACAGTTATGGGACCAATCCACATATTTGTTTGTCAGCAGTCCACAACCCAAAGATGTTAAAATTACTATAATGTTAGATGAGGAAAAGCAGCAAATCCTCACATTTAAGAAGCTGGAAACATCTTTTGCTCAATAAATGACTTCCATGGCTAGGCCTAATCGTTGCAAAAAATGTTGCAGATTCATTTTCTGTCAACCGACTAACCAACTGATTAAATGACTCCTCCTTTTATAGCTGTAATTTACTGATTTAGCTGATTTACTTCTTCAGACGTCAGACGGTGAACCCTTATTGGCAAGTATTGACAGATAAAGTAGCATATCCTGGCATTACACGTCATTGCAGTTCTACATGTGTCTTGATGATGCAGATATATGGACTTATACGGAAAAAAGTGTGTTCTAACACACATCGAACGCCACTGGTGTGGGGTGCCCTTTACAGAGGGCAAGGGAGAAAAAAGAGGAGATAAGCACATAAGAACAAGAGGGTGTGGGCGTGTTTCATATGTTTGTGTGTGGGAGCAGATGTGATTCTGTGCAGAGGGAAACTGCTGCCTGCTGATACCAACATTAGTGATTTATGAGATAGAGATAGAGTGAGAAGAGAGGGGGTAAGAGAGATACAATAATTGAGTCAGAGAGATCAACATATACATTATGTATGGGTGTGTGGGGGCTGTACATGTTCTTAAATACTGCAGTTACTATGGTGTGCAAGCCAATTACTCTTTACATGTAGAAATTGTTCAACATTTACGTGGTGATTTTATTGTACTATATATATTGTTTGGTTAATATGTTCTAGTAAGAGTCCCATTTGCATCCCATCTGCTGCTACTACACATACTCAAGTTAATGAAAACTAATTTGGAGGCAAATTTTTTATAGTCATTTTCACTTAGGGGTGTCCTCACTTTTGTTGCCAGCGGTTTAGACATTAATGGCTGTGTGATGTGTTATTTTGAGGGGACAGAAAAATTAAGCTTGTAATACAAGCTTTATCCTCACTGCTTTAGATTGTAGTAAAGTGTCATTTCTTCAGTGTTGTCAGATGAAAAGATATAATCAAATATTGTGAGGTTTACTCACTTTTGTGAGACACTGTAGGTGGTCAATAACTTGTTTCCGCACCATCCTTGTAGGTCATCATGAGTGAGACAAGACGATCATCTCCTAAAGTGTCTCAATTCTAGAAAGAACACTATGCATTTGGAACTCAATGTTCCACCTTTTTGACAGCAGACATTTTGTCTGGTCATAGTAGGAAAAGCACGGGTGTTACTAATAACAACACTGCCACAAAAATGTGATAGTTTAATAATAAGCTAGCATGCACAATAGCAGGACCAAAACCAAAGCATCTTAATGGAATTTTATTAATTTTATTATTCACACCTGCGCAGTGGTGGAATGTAACTACTAAGTACATTTACTCTAGTCCTGAACTACGAATTCGAGGAGCTTGTACTTTACTTAATTTTTTCCATTTTATGCTACTTTATACTTCTGCTCCACTACATGTCACAGGCAAATAATGTTCTTTTTACTGCACTACATTTGTCTGACAACTTTAATTACTAGTTACCTTTTTTGGGACAACAAAGTATCTTCGGACAGGGACTCCTTCAGCTCCGCAATAATAAGGACCGCTACAGAAAGTTATTCCTCTAAACCTCCCTCAGGTTTGTGTAACTTGTGTATGTTTCGTAACTGTAATTGTGCATGTAGTTTAGTTACGTAAAACGATGCAAAAAGTGACTGCAACTTCCCATCGGGGATGAATTATGATCCAATATTTATCCAAAAACATCAATAGTAAAACACTCACAGGGAACATTTACCGCACTATGAGTACTTTTACTTTTGGTACTTTTAAGTGCATTTTTCCCTAAGCATAGGTAGAGTAGGCAGTTAGATGACTTAGATTTTCAAGAGGGGAGTTCTGAAATGCAAGAAAATGTTATTTGGGTTGAATTCTTCCAGACAACTGTCATAGAAAGTGCCTACTTGATCATCCTAATGGCAGCCTCATCCACCCAGTCTCCTACTCCACCCTGAGACATTTAGATTAGGAGACTAATGAATAGCGCTGCCAGTGTGATGGTCCAGTAGATTTATGACGGTGTCGTCTGAAATTCGCTTCAGGGTCAGTTAGTACATCACTGTTTTGACATCTGAATGGGGCTTCTGCATTACTGCCAATCCTTGATTGTGGCATAAAGGACTGGAACATCACATCCTCAACATTGGTAAATGTTCTTATAATCTGGAGCCACGCAGGTTTTCCTTGGGGAAAGACTTTTTTTGCAAAAAAGAAAAGTGTTTCATGTTTCTGGGCAAAGAAAAGCACTTTGATTAAAATAAATATGAGCTGGGTAGTTAGCATGAGAAAATATGAGCATACACTCACTATCTAATATGTGGTTTGGTGGTTGATGTGAAAGTGAGAGGGAGAGAAAGACACCCAGAAAACAAAAAGAATAAGAAAATAAACTTGAATGAAAATGAACTGCAATGAAATTACTTCAAGTTCAACTTTCAATAGTTATCTAGATTTTTTCTTATACATTTTTGCACATTTAAAGTAAAGCCACCGCAAGAGTTGCTTTTAAACTGATACTAGATAGTAAATGGACTCATCATTTCTAAATGTCATATAGATTAGTTTGTGTTACAATGTTACATTTTATTCCAGTTATTCACAACACACAAATTGTGCTTTTAGAGGTTAAATATTTGTGTCACGTTTGACGCTTTGAAAGCTGATGAGGCAGAAATTTAGAGGCACTTATTCTGATGATTGAAATCGGCCAAGAATTCCGTCAGCCAGAGATTCAGGCTATCACTGGCAGGGGATCAATGTGTTTGTTTGTTGCTCAACCCAATTTGTTTCAATTTGTAAAGAATTATTGGTTCTGTAACCATAGTTTATTGAATGTACAAACAAATCTTACAGGAAGCAGTGCAACACACACACACACACACACAAACACGCACACCAGAGACACACACATATGTATGTGGTAGTATGGAGAGAACTAATGTTTTGACTTAAATGCTATGATTATTTCACCAGTTACATGCTTTGAAATTACTTCTCATATAATTTATGTAGAATGTTCAAGGGAAAAAACTGAATTAAATAGTGATAATATATGTATTTATACTCACTGGCCACTTTATTAGGTACACCTGTTCAACATGCAGCCAATCACCTGGCAGCACCTCAATGCATTTAGACACGTAGATGTGGTCAAGACAACTTGCTGAAGTTCAAACCGAGCATCAGAATGGGGAAGAAAGGGGATTTAAGTGACTTTGAACGTGGCACGGTGGTTGGTGCCAGACAGGCTGGTCTGAGTATTTCAGACACTGCTGATCTACTGGGATTTTCACACACAACCATCTCTGGGCTTTACAGAGAATGGTCCAAAAAAGAGAAAATATCCAGTGAGCGGCAGTTGTGTGGACGAAAATGCCTTGTTGATGTCCGAGGTCAGAGGAGAATGGGCCGACTGGTTTGAGATGACAGAAACATTAACTCGCAGCAACCATGTGATGCTATTATGTCTATATGGACCAAAGTTTCTAAGGAATGTTTCCAGCAACTTGTTGAAAGTATGCCCCGAAGAATTAAGGCAGGTGTGAATTCAAAAGGAAGGTCCAACCTGGTACTAGCAAGGTGTATCTAATAAAGTGGACGGTGCATGTGTATTTCCTTTCTGCTTTCTTAGATGCGTGTATGTTAAACTGACCCATGCAAAAGAATGACACTTAGAAGTTGATCTCTTCATAAGCTGGGACAGTCGACTCATGTCAATTACATCAAAAGTTTCTAATCTAATGTGCACACGCACACACAGATGTGGCAACAGGGTGTTAACTCTCTATGCATTGAAAATTAGATCTTAGCCAGTGTGATTGACTGGTGCTGGTTACTTGATTGCAAGATGTCATGATTAAAAATGCGTGTGTGTGTTTGTGACAGTTTGAGAACAGTTGATTGATGTGTGAAGAAAGGATGAAAGGATTACAGGTTTTGTTATTTATTATTCTTCCTCCCTTCAGTTCAAATCACACACACAAAACACCAAAAGTGCAATGAAATGACATATGCACAGTTGTAGCAGTATAAGACTGCACAAGTACATCCTAAAACAATTGGGGTTTTCTTAAAATGGCTACAATAAACTAACATGGTGCAGAATTGAGGCAAATGCTTTATCTTTTTTGCCTTTATTGCTGAAGCATGCCTTGCCTATGACAGAAATATACTCATTGCCATTGGAAAAGGAAGTGCAGGGATTGGATTAAGTGCAGCAGACCCTGGGACAATCACTGCCCACGGCATCTTGACCACCCAGCCAGCCAAGGGAAGACAGAGCCAGGATAAGAGCTAAGCTAAGCCAGGTTGGAGTTATAGCTGCTCCACTACCATAGACTGTTTAAATGTAGGGACATAGCCACCATAACG